GCATTTATATTCATATTTGGGTCAATATTCACTCCATAGCACTTTCGTATAATTTATATTAAATTGTATTTTTATGCATTTATCTCAATCTTTTAAAACTTTTGTGTTTGTAGGAGTCTGGTTTATGATATAAAGAAATAAAAAAAATAGTTTCAAGCTCATTAAGTTTTTCGTTTTAAATGATCAAATGTTTAAAGGGCCCCAATTGGTGTTTTTTCAGTGTAAATTGTGACATACGCAATAACGATTTTATTTCTATAAATTTGAAATTGTTTTGAAGGGAAAAACCACCCTAAACATGAGTAGAAAGATTGTCATTATTATAATAAACAAGTAAGAACACTCAAATAGATAAACTTTCCGCAATTAACATCAAAATTATTTGATGAAAGTGACTTCTCGTTTTAACGTAACTTCTGTCCAAAGGCTTCATTTCAAAATTTCGTTTTTTTTAAAGTTATATGAGAATTATTCGTATTGTAGATTAAATAAATATCTTTTCTTATTTGTTATTTTCGTTTACTAAGACTCAAAATGGCCATGAATTCATCATAAGTTGTAGAAAATCGATGTTGAAGTTGCGGTTGGAAGTTCTGTCCAGATCGAATCCATTACGTGATTAGGAAATCCCATGTTGTAAATTTAGAAATCTAAATATACGAAAGCCAGAGAGAGGCTGGAACATGCGCAAACAAGTTTAGGACTATAATTTCCGGTTGTCAACATTTGGCACGAAAGACGAAGATCAGATAAACGTCCAGATATCATTTCTGTCCAAAATGTTACGTTAAAGGTAAGATACGTGAATACAATGAATATCATAAAAATTCCATATTAAGTGTTTATTTCCTTGTGTTTGAAGGCTGTTTTTTGTGTTTTTACTACGCTAGAATACAATGTGAAAAGCAATTTTTTAATTTAAAAGGTTCGAGATAAGATCAAAGTGAGACTTTTATCTTTATTTGGTCATCCGGACAGATATCAATATTAATTTATCGTAACAAAGACAGAAAGCAATATCTGTCATGGTTGCATGAAATGGAAAAATACATACATGATTATCTTGCAATTTTGCACTGTTCTGTTACTATTTCATTATGATCCCACCACTCAAATGTCAATGTCACTCTGAGATTTTGTTTGTTTCATCGAAAATTAAAAAAGTTGGTCTATATTTTTTACATTTCACATAACAAGACGGACAGAATAAAATCTGTCATGTTACATTAAATCTGTATCACAATAAATAAGTTGTCCGTCTTGTTACATGATTCTATTTAGTGAGGGTACCTGAATGACAGTTTACCTTTAAAATTTTATTAAATAAAATGGTTAAGATATAAACCTGTGTATGAAAAAAAATTCTTATTACATGAATGGAATATTTGTTTAAACTTATTATGAAATAACTTTAAATTCTGATATCATGTAACACAGACAGACAGATGTGTCCATCTTGTTACATTGCATTAATTTTGAGTTGCAATTTAGTACAGTATAAAAGTAAAATGATCTTGGTTGTTTATGACTTTATATCATTTTTAATGTAAATTTTCCATTTTGTTTAACATTTCATGTAACATGACAGACAAACATGTCTGTCTTGTTACATGAATTGTTTACTTAGAAACCATTTGTGACCATCCACTATTAAGGTTATATGATGAAATGTGCTTACAATTAGAATTTTAAAGGAAACAATAATTCCTGTTTCAGGTAAAAATATTTGTTGAAGAAAATAAGAAATAACATTAAATTCTGATATCATGTAACAAGACACACAGACATGTCTGTCAAATTTTGTTAAAAAAAACTTCAATTGCAAATAGGTATACTGTATACTTCAAAATAAATAAGCTTCTTTGATAAGTACCTTTTATTTCAATAAAAATGATTTTAGGGTTTCAGGTTTCTTTTCTCAGTCAAACATGGAAATCCTGGCCTTATATGGAGGAAAAGGGGGGGGGGGGGGGGGGTGTGGTACCCATTTTAAATCTTATGTACTCCCAAGCCGACGCATAAAACACGTTCTAAAGGCAGCCATTTTAATTTAATGAAGAACAAACGTTCCAGTAAAAAAGTTGTTTCACAATGTTAAAAATTAATTGAAATATATGTCATGTATGTTACTAGAGTATTATTTTATGACGTCGCCCCCCACCCCCCTTTTTCAATTATTATTGGAATTAGAACATTGCTTTGTAAAAATAAGGATTAGAGACCTGTATTATTGCCAAGGAAACAACGTTCCACCAAAGTTCAAATAATGTGGATGTAAGCAACCTTACGGCCTTCAACAATGAGAATAAAACCCATACCGTAGAGTTGGCTATAAAAGGCCTTGACAAGAGAAATATGTCTGTCAGTAAAGTTCTGTAAGTACTCTCAGATCTGTACTTAGTGTCTTTTTGTTGTTTGGATATACAAGTACCCAGCCACCTCCACTATGTGTAGTATTTTTATTTGTATCCATCTGATGGGTTAAGCCTATATTTCAACTGATTTTTATAGTTTGTTCTTATGTTGTACTATTACACCACTGTCAGAGGATAGGGGAATTGTTGGATCCCACTAACATGTTTAAGCCCGCCTCATTCTGTATTTATGTGCCTGTCCCAAGTCAGGACCCTGTAAGTCAGTGGTTGTTGTTTGTTTATGTGTTATATATTTGTTTGAATTGTCATTTCAGGGCCTTATACATACCTGACTATGCGCTATGGGCTTTGCTCATTATTCATGTTATTGAAGGCCTTAGATCATGTACATTGACCTATAGTTATTATTTTCTGTGTCATTTGGTCTCTTGTGGAAAGTTGTCTCATTGGCAATCATACCACATCTTCTTATTTGTCAGATCAATACAAAGAAGAAAAAAATGAAACATAAACACAGACTGGACTTGGTTCACATATCAAAACCAGCGCGTTATATTAAAATCTTTAATAAAACACAGTTGCCTATAAATTATAAATGGTTTTTTTTTTGTAAAACTAGTGCATAGTGAACTTATACATTACAGTTTCTTTTTAAAGATGGGAAAAAGATTTGAAATCAGATTGAGTGCCCTACCATCTGCACAGAGTCCAGATACTCCAGAATTGAACAAGAAACAAAAACACGCCAAAGTAATGCGTGAAAGACGAGCAAAGTGGAATGAACAACAGAAACAAGAAAATAAAGAAAGAAGCGGAATAAGGATGCAAAATATGCGTGAAAGGAAAAAAAAAGAACATACTCAAAATTCTGTAAGTAAAAACATTCTGACAAGACATGAATTAAAAAAAGAAGAAGAGAGAAAAAGAGTGCAAAGAGAAAAAAAGAGACAATACAGAGAAACTCTGTCTTCACAAAAGAAAAGAAGAATTAAAGAAAAAGATCGAAACAAGAAAAGGTTAAAACGACAAAAAACAAAATTAAACAAGCTTGCAGTTCATCATGTTCATCAAGTAGACACTACATCCAATATAATTTCAAATACAGATAGTGAAATAGTACTTATTCAAAATGATCAATCTAATCAAGTGTCAAAGCAATGGACCAAACCAGCTTTAAGAAAAGCAATAAGCAGGGTAAAATCAGCTTTGCCTAGAAGTCCTTCTAAAAGGCAAAAGGTGTTGAACCAATTGAGTAAAACAAATGAAACATGTAATGAACAGAACAGAACACTCATATCAATAGTGAAAGCAGCACATGACAATTTAAAAGGAAAAACAAAGACAGAAAAGATGGCCAGGAAAAAATTTGTTTCCAATTTATCAGACCATATCAAAAGAAAATATGGCATGCAAAGTTTAGTTTGTAAAACCTTTGGAATTGAAAAAAGATACTTAACAAAATATTGTAAAAACACGGAACAGAAACAAAGAAAGGATACTATTTCAAAAGATACAACAGATTCTGTTAACAAATTTCTTGTACGTGAAGACATATCAATTAATGTACCAAATATAAAAGCAATGAAAGCAAATACAGAAGACCATCAATTTGTGCTACAGAAGTCAATGACAGAAATATATTCAGATTGGAAAGCCGAAAACCAAAATACAAAGTTATCAAAATCTAAATTCTTAAAAATGAGACCAACGAATGTAAAATTACAGAACCAAAGAAAACTAATCCAGTGTCTATGTGAATATTGTGAAAATGTGAATTTGAAAATCACAGCATTTAACAATTTTGCAGTACGTAAGAATCAACAACAGCTTAGAATTAGAGATAAGTACGAAGCTATTAATATGATTTTATGCGAAAAAAATGGGGAACAATTTAACAAAATTACTTGTATAGAAGGAAAGTGTGTGAATTGTGGAACAGAGAATCTAAGTAAAAGAATGGAACCTCTTATCATAGCTAATGAAGAAATAAAATGGCAAAAATGGGATTTTGTGAATGTACCAAACCACAAAACAGGAAAAGAAATAAAAAAAAAGGCAGTTGGTTACATTTTTCACCCCAGCACAACAGTTGTTTGTTCAACTATTGGATGAACTGCAGTTCCTACTATATCATTTGTTTGTTGCCAGTTGGCAACACAATCAGTTTAGACAATTAAACAATAGACCCCCAGAAAAAACTGTTGTCCTAACAATGGACTTTGCAGAAAACTTTTCTTGCTTTTCTCAAAATGAAATCCAAGGCGCCCATTGGGCCAAAGACTCAGTTACAATACATCCAGTTATAGCAAGATATCAGTGCAAAAACCAAGAATGTTACAATTCAATGGTAGATGACATCATTGACATCATCAGTAATGATTTACAACATGATGTACATGCAGTTCAAAAATTTACAGAAGTGATTATAAAATTTTTGAGGGAAGAAAGAGGAATAGATGTAGAAAAAATGTTCATTCTTTCAGACGGATGTGCTGCCCAGTACAAGTCTAAGGTGGCATTTTTAGATTCCAGCATGTCAGAGGTGGACAATAATATCAAATCAGAAAAGGCATTTTATGGCTCCAGGCATGGAAAGAACAGGTGTGATGGAGAAGGGGGGGGGGGGGGTCATAAAATCGAAGGCAGCAAGAATAATAAGGAACGGAGGATTGATCAACTCTGCTAAGGATTTGTATGAACAGTGTTTATGTTTGCAGAAAGAACTTACAAACCCTGATGGAACTTGTAACCATAACAGACGAAAATTAATTTGGGTTGAAAGAAGCAACATACGACATGTAAGACCAAACAGAGTATGTAAAACAGTTAAAGGTACCCGAAGTCTACATTCTGTGAGGGGTATCGGAGCAGGACAAATTCAAGTCAGGAAACTGGCTTGTTTTTGTGGTTTTTGCACTGCCACTGAACATGCTGAAGGAACAAGTTCAACATGCGAGAATGAGGCAGTTGTTGGTGAATGGAGGAGTGTAAACTTGAATGGTTTCAACATGCTAAATAGGAATGACATAGAGCAATACATTGAAAACAGGAATGATGAAGAGCAAGACATTGAAAACAGGAATGATGAAGAGCAAGACATTGAAAACAGGAATGACGAAGAGCAAGACATTGAAAACAGGAATGACGAAGAGCAAGACATTGAAAACAGGAATGATGAAGAGCAAGACATTGAAAACAGGAATGATGAAGAGCAAGACATTGAAAACAGGAATGATGAAGAGCAAGACATTGAAAACAGGAATGACGAAGAGCAAGACATTAAAAACAGGAATGATGAAGAGCAAGACATTGAAAACAGGAATGACGAAGAGCTAGACATTGAAAACGAACAAAATGATAGAGATGATGATGATGAAATAGTAAACGAAGATGGACTTGATCTCAACATGCTAAACAGGAATTACATGAATGATGAAGAGCAAGACAATGAAAACGAACAAGATAATAGAGATGATGACGATGAAATAGTAACAAAAGATGGACCTGACGATTTCCTTGGAAGTGACTTATTTACTGAACTACCAGAGCTAAAGGGTATGCAATCATGACAAAAGCATTAATCTAAACATGTTTTAATATTAATTTAACAAAAGTGTATGGTATTCTTTGTTTCATGCGACAATGTATAAAGCCAAAAACAATACATGCTTGACATACAATAACTATCATAATTACTGCTTAAAATGATTTAAATTTAAACAGAATTTTTTAATAAGATTGCAGATTCCAAAACTTAACATTGAACAACTGCTAAATTTTGAATGAAAATGAACATCAAATTTTGTGGTTTAAGCCATGGCGATACTTATAATTTGAATGAATAATTTCATGTCTGAGATAATCATAATAATGCAACCAATGTCTTCAACTAATTGTTTTACTTATTAGCCACATTTAAATGTTTGCATATATATATTTTTATTTTTTGTAGACACCAGTATGACGAGTCTCAACTTCAACAACATGTCATTCAGTGATGCTGATTGCGAAAAAGAATCTTTCAATGCACTTGATTCATTTATTGATGAATTTATCAACTGGTAGGTTTTTGTCTTGATGTTTAATTTTCAGAAGAAAAGAAATCTCAAATGCATTTGGTTTTCTGCATGTTTATATTATTCTTACACAAGTTTTGTAATGCACATTACATTTTACAAGTTTGGCATGCTAATTTTAGATTAAAAAATATTGAAATCATATTGTATTCATCAGTCAGGGGTGCCTCAGGGTTTTGTTTGGCATCTATTACTTTTTCTAACCACTACAAAACACAATAAAGGCATTAGCTCATAAACCATGCAAAATTCTGATAACTTTTTTTATCTGTAGTAAGGTTAGTTTTGTTTTATCATTTAATGCATTACATATTGATGGGTTTTTTTTATTTAAAGGAACCATGAAAACACAGAAAACGTTGAACATGTTCAAGAAAAATGTATTCCTTCAAGGTATGTTATTATTTGTCTGTTCTAACATAGAAACATGTTATTTGAGGGTTATTTTTTTGCTGTATATAATATTTTTATGTAATGTACTGTACACGAATAAGGCTGTTAGTTTTCTTGTATGTAATGTTTTATTTCTTTCACTTTGTGGTTTTAGTATCTAAATTTCTCAATAAAGAAAATTACATTGATATAAATTGTGTCTATGCTGTGTTACTTTTGCTCATTGACAAAAGCTGTACAGTGACCTAAAGTTAAGATCTAAGTAAATTGTTGTCTTATTGGCAATCATACCACATCTATTTTTTTAATTTGAGTTAAAATGCCGTAATGGAACAGCCTTATTTCAGACATTTGTTTAATTGGAATTTAATCCTACCTGTTGAACTTTTACTCAATTTTTTTTAACAGAAACTTTAATAATGGAACAAACATAGCTGTAAAGTTTGGTTCTAATATTTATCCAGCAGTAGTAAGTGGAGTTGAAGAACATTTGTTGTTATTTCTTTTTGGGTTTTTTTTACGCAGTGCACCCAGAGATGATTATTTTCTGATACTATTCACATTGTCTAATTGAACACTTGACATCCAAGAGGATCAATACCTTTATAAAAAATATTAATTAGAAAGCAATTATTTTGTGCAGATTGTTGTTTACAATATGTTGGTTTTGTCAAAAAATAATCATCTCTCATGTACTTCATTTATTGCAATTTAATATGCAATTTAGTTTGCTGCATAAACTTTCATTTTGCAATTTGATGGTCATCCTTTATTGAAATAGTCCATACTGGGTCAAGATTGTGAGTCATGTGAGTACTATTTGGAAATTTACAAATTAATGCAGTTATCAAAAGTTCTAAAGTTCAGATATAATGTGAATTAGGTTGAATGTACACAAATTACAGTATATTTCAATGTATAGAACGGCTCTTTATTAAACACCATGAACGAAATAAAACAAAGTCCAAAGTTGGTTGTCGTTCTAATACTTTTTTATTGATATATATAATTTTTCTTAAAGGTTTCTGAATGGCCATGGATTATGTATTATAAGTATCTTAAAGATGGAGAATGGATGGATGGTGGGCCAACGTATACCATTGCAACGTCAGATGTTGTTGATACGTTGGATCCACCAGACATTAGAATGGAAGGTCGTCGCCTTTATTATATATTTAATGGTAGGTATTCACACAACATTTCAAACATGACAAGTGTCTTAAAAACATTTTTTTCTCTTAATAAAATAAACAAAACAAAGCATGCATGTAAGTATATTTTATATGGGATTAAACAAGTTAAATTATAAAATTATTGACTTTGTCAGTAGTATACAAATAACTGTAAAAGAGGGACAGTCAACAACTGGTCAAAGTCATAAATCGAAAATAAACTGACAACGCCATGGCTAAAAAAGAAAAAAGACAAACAGACAAACAATAGTACATATGACACAACATAGAAAACTAAAGAATAAGCAACACGAACCCCAGCAAACCGAGCAAGTCCAGATAATGAAGAAATCTTGCAGCTAAACCGAGCAAGTCCAGATAATGAACAAATCTTGCAGCTACCTCTAATAAAGACTTATTACACTGATTATGTGATGATTATGAACATACAAAATGTGCAAAATTTGCATATTGCTTCCATAAGGTAAATGTGCCTTTTCAATAGATCTTTATTCAAGTGAGGTTATGCTTGTGTTCTTTAAATGTTGGCCAGCATTGACAAAATGAAAGCACAGATGAAGTTTGTAGTTTTAAAATACAATCTGGTAAATGATTCTTCAACTCTGGTTTAACTTTATTGCTAATAACATAAATAAATAAAACAGGCTGCTATTTCTTTATTTCATATTTTACTGTATTTATATATAAAAGGTCTTTTTCAAAACATTTTTTTCAAAATTTCTTTGCAGGCAATGATTTCAAGAAAGGGCCAAAGAAGATTGTTGACCTGTGAACATGGTGAACTGCGATGCAATGACTCATTTTGATTAATTATTGATAATTAGAATATCAATAAATTGAATTAAAACTAAAATGTGTAATCTTGTTTTAAAAATATAAAACATTAGTGAATTGTCACGATTAAAGGCTAAAAAAAACTGCGACAGAATCCATTTGCATCTAAAGGTGTCAAGGTTCCAGACAATGTACATTGTTCTATTAATTATGGGATTGCAAGGCAATGGTTTTTTTTGTTTGTTTTCTTTATTGAAAGACAATCATATAAAAATTAGACATTATATTCCCTAATAATGAAATGGTTGACAAGTTTTAATTGATGTCTGTCCATGTTACATGAGACTGGCTGATGAACCATTGATATTTTACTGCCTTCAGTCATTTTTAGCTCACCTGACCTGAAAGGTCAAGTGAGCTTTTCTCATCACTTTGCGTCCGTCGTCCGTCGTCCTGCGTCCGTCGTCCGTAAACTTTTACAAAAATCTTCTCCTCTGAAACTACTGGGCCAAATTTAACCAAACTTAGCCACAATCATCATTGGGGTATCTAGTTTTAAAAATGTGTGGCGTGACCCGGTCAACCAACCAAGATGGCGGCCACGGCTAAAAATAGAACATAGGGGTAAAATGCAGTTTTTAGCTTATAACTCAAAAACCAAAGCATTAAGAGCAAATCTGTCATGGAGTAAAATTGTTCATCAGGTCAAGATCTATCTGCCCTGAAATTTTCAGATGAATCGGACAACCCGTTATTGGGTTGCTGCCCCTGAATTGGTAATTTTAAGGAAATTTTGCTGTTTTTGGTTATTATCTTGAATATTATTATAGATAGAGATAAACTGTAAACAGCAATAATGTTCAGCAAAGTAAGATTTACAAATAAGTCAATATAACCGAAATGGTCATTTGACCCCTTTAGGAGTAATTGCCCTTTATAGTCAATTTTTAACCATTTTTCGTAAATCTTAGTAATCTTTTACAAAAATCTTCTCCTCTGAAACAACTGGGCCAAATTAAACCAAACTTGGCCACAATCATCATTGGGGTATCTAGTTTAAAAAATGTGTGGCGTGACCCGACCAACCAACCAAGATGGCCGCCACAGCTAAAAATAAAACATAGGGGTAAAATGCAGTTTTTGGCTTATAACTCAAAAACCAAAGCATTTAGAGCAAATCTGACATGAAGTAAAATTGTTTATCAGGTCAAGATCTATCTGCCCTGAAATTTTCAGATGAATCGAACAACCTGTTGTTGCGTTGCTGCCCCTGAATTGGTAATTTTAAGGAAATTTTGCTGTTTTTGGTTATTATCTTGAATATTATTATAGATAGAGATAAACTGTAAACAGCAATAATGTTCAGCAAAGTAAGATTAACAAATAAGTTAACATGACTGAAATGGTCAGTTGACCCCTTTAGGAGTTATTGCCCTTTATAGTCAATTTTTAACAATTTTTCGTAAATCTTAGTAATCTTTTACAAAAATCTTCTCCTCTGAAACTCCGTGGCCAAATTAAACCAAACTTGGCCACAATCATCATTTGGTTATCTAGTTTTAAAAATGTGTGGCGTGACCTGGTCAACCAACCAAGATGGCCGCCACGGCTAAAAATAGAACATAGGGGTAAAATTCAGTTTTTGGCTTTTAACTCAAAAACCAAAGCATTTAAAGCAAATCTGACATGGAGTAAAATTGTTTATCAGGTCAAGATCTATCTGCCCTGAAATTTTCAGATGAATCGGACAACCCGTTATTGGGTTGCTGCCCCTGAATTGGTAATTTTAAGGAAATTTTACTGTTTTTGGTTATTATCTTGAATATTATTATAGATAGAGATAAACTGTAAACAGCAATAATGTTCAGCAAAGTAAGATTTACAAATAAGTCATTATAACCGAAATGGTCAGTTGACCCCTTTAGGAGTAATTGCCCTTTATAGTCAATTATTAACCATTTTTCGTAAATCTTAGTAATCTTTTACAAAAATCTTCTCCTCTGAAACAACTGGGCCAAATTAAACCAAACTTGGCCACAATCATCATTTGGTTATCTAGTTTTGAAAATGTGTGGCGTGACCTGGTCAACCAACCAAGATGGCCGCCACGGCTTAAAATAGAACATAGGGGTAAAATTCAGTTTTTGGCTTTTAACTCAAAAACCAAAGCATTTAAAGCAAATCTGACATGAAGTAAAATTGTTTATCAGGTCAAGATCTATCTGCCCTGAAATTTTCAGATGAATCGGACAACCCGTTGTTGGGTTGCTGCCCCTGAATTGGTAATTTTAAGGTGATTTTGCTGTTTTTGGTTATTATCTTGAATATTATTATAGATAGAGATAAACTGTAAAAAACAATAAATGTCGGCAAAGTAAGATCTACAAATAAGTCAACATGACCGAAATTGTCAGTTGACCCCTTTAGGAGTTATTGCCCTTTATAGTCAATTTTTAACCATTTTTTCGTAAATCTTAGTAATCTTTTACAAAAATCTTCTCCTCTGAAACTACTGGGCCAAGTTAATTATAGATAGAGATAATTGTAAGCAGGAAAAATGTTCAGTAAATTAAGATGTACAAACACATCACCATCACCAAAACACAATTTTGTCATGAATCCATCTGCG